GTTACCATTTTAAGTTAGGTAGGTCATTTTCAGCTGTGAGTCCCAAAATGGGGGGATGCAGGTTAACAGGTTAAGCGTTCGAGTGATTCTGGAGGCCCCTTACAGAAGGAGAGCGATAATGTCTCTGATTTTAAAAATAAATGTGTTCCTACCAGTACAAAATTTCATAAAGAATGTAGTTATTGCCACAAAATGGGACATACCATGGCTGAGTGTCGTAGTTTGAAACGAAAACAAGAGCGACAAGAGTCTGTATCCATTCAGCCTCGGGGTTCCGTGTTGGTGAAAAAGTTTTCCTCGCCACTCTCTCTCCCTTCTGCAGCGCCTGATGTCTGTTTTCAGCCTTTCGTATTTGACGGATTTGCATCTTTGGATGATGGTGTCGAAAGCCAAAAGCCTGTACGAATTTTACGTGACACCGGGGGATCTCAGTCATTTATATTGTCGGGTGTTTTAGATTTTTGTGGGCACTCCTTGTAATACCAGTGCGATTGTGCAGGGTATTGAAATGGGTTTTGTAACCGTTCCTCTGCATCGTGTGTGGGTTACCTCTGATTTGGCATCTGGATGTTTTGAAGTAGCAATTCGCCCCTCATTACCTGTGAAGGGTATCGATTTTATAATGGGAAACAACATAGCTGGCGGTAAGGTAATGACGGTTGTACAGGTGACTGATGTCCCACATACTGATTCACAATCTGATGTAGTCCTACTTGTTAAAACTTTTCCAGAAGTGTTTTCAGTTAGTGCAGTGATGACACGAGCGCAGGCAAATCGTGACATTCAAGAGAACGTTAACCTCAGTGATTATGTTTTTTCAGAAGTTCTGGGAAACGATACTTTTCTGGAGTCTTTGGACGTCGCTGAAACGACTCAGAGTTCACCTGTTTGTCTTGATCTTGTTGCTGATGCGTCAATTTCACATTAATCTTTGCGTGATGCTCAGAAAAATGACCCGATGTTGGAAAAATGTTGTGTAAGTGCTGGGAATAATTTGCTATCGCCTCGTAAACAACAGTTCTACTGGAATGATGCCGTGTTGATGCGTTAATGGAGCCAATCGTTAAATGTTGAGCAGACAGATGAATGGAATATGGTGCATCAAATTGTGGTGCCTTTGAAATTCCGGCAGCATGTTTTGAGTCTGGCCCATGACCATCCTTGGTCTGGACAACTTGGTATAAATAAGACCTATAACCGGGTGCTCCAGCATTTCTTTTGGCCAGGATTAAAAACTGATGTCTCGAAATACTGTAAATCATGCCACATTTGTCAGGTTGGTGGAAAACCTAACCAGGTGGTGCCACCTGCTCCTCTCTGTCCTATACCTGCCATAAGTGAACCGTTCGAACGTGTTCTTGTGGATTGTGTGGGTTCACTTCCTCGCACTAAATCTGGGCGTCAGTATTTGGCCTTCGAAACACACCAATGACGTTTCAGCGGTTGATGTCCATGGTTTTGGGGCGAAGTTCCTAACTGTAACGTACATCTTGATGACGTAGTCATTTATTCGTCTACATGGGCTGAACATATGTCAACTTTACATGATGTGTTTCGCGTGGCATCTCTGACCTTAAATCTTAAGAAATGTGAATTCGCGAAGGCTACGGTCACGTATCTGGGGAAACAGGTTGGAAACGGTCAGGTACGGCCTCTAGATGGAAAAGTGACTGCTATCCTTGAGTATCCAGTGCCTACTACGAGACGAGAGCTACGTAGATTTCTGGGGATGGTGGGGTACTACCGGTGTTTCTGTAAGAATTTTTCGAGCATAATTGCTCCTTTAACTCGATTATGTAGTCCTAAAATTGTTTTCAGTTGGACTAATGAGTGCCAACAGGCATTTCTGTCTGCAAAATCTCTTCTTTGCAGTGCTCCTGTGTTGTCGTCCCCAGATGTGTCCCGTTCGTTTCAAATGGAAGTGGACGCCAGTGCTGTCGGAACGGGAGCTGTCCTTCTACAGGAGGGTGCTGATGGAATATCTCACCCAGTGTCATACTTCTCTGTTAAGTTTTGTTATGTATGAATAAAATAATAATTGTTGCTTTAATATGTAAGTAATGGGTGGAGTCATGTAGCGATGACGAAGTGATTTGATCTAATAATACAAGTGCAATGTGAGCATTAAAGACACGATGGTTATTTCTGACTATTCTTTAGTGTCCTCTGTCTTAATAAGTAGAAAAGGGAAAGACATGACAAAGTGGCGACAAGGATGTTTGAAAGAACCTCTGCGTGTGTGAATTGCCGAATAGAAGTGTAAAGTGCAGTAAACAGCTGAACGCGGCGGCGCGAGCTCGGTGCCTGTGAATACAAAAAGACGATATGGCTGGCGTTATAGGAAATATCGGACATTTCGACGAAAATGTTGAACAATGGAGCTCATATACAGAGCGATTTGAATATTTCCTGCAGGCAAACGCCATTGAGGGTAAAAAGATTGTGCCTACTTTTCTCAGTGTGATGGGTGCAAAGGCCTTCATTTTGCTACGCAGTCTCGTACAGCCCGCGAAACCAGGTAAGAAAACTTATGCAGAGATTGTGGCAGTGCTAAGCGCACATTTTTCACCTAAACCATTGATGATAGCGGAAAGATTTTGGTTTCACAAGAGAAATCAAGAAGAGTGAGAAACTAACTATGTTTGTGAATTCGGTGATGTTTTGAATGATACAATCAGGGACAGGCTCGTATGTGGATTAAGAAGCGAGGCCATTCAAAAAAGACTGTTAAGTGAAAGTAATCTCACATTGCAGAAAGCCACTGAAATAAGTGTAAGCATAGAACTTGCTGCTAAGGAAGCACAGCAATTCAGTAACGCAGATAAAATTCATAAATTGTCTGCTGACATAAACACATTCCAGAATTCCCCTTGTAAAGCTCCTAAAAATGAAACATGTTATAGATGTGGCAAAGTCGGACATCTTGCATCTGAGTGTTGGTGTAAAGAATTGGTTTGCCATAGTTGTGGGGAAAAAAGGCCACATAGAAGTGCTTGCAGAGGAAAACAAAAGACTGCAAAACGAAAATTCAATAAAATGCCTGGCACATCAAAGAAAAAGAAGAATGTGTATACAATGCAATCAAGTTGCAAGGAGTACACAGACGACACTGACTCATCTTTGGAGGAAGTTCCTCTAAAAATTCTAGCCATGGAAGGAGACTGCAAAGGCTATTGGGCGACACCTGTCATTGAGGGAGAGCCGGTGCGTATGGAGATAGACACTGGCGCTGCTGTTTCTATCGTGTCAGATGCGGTGTACCACGAAACACTCAAACATGTCTGCCTAAAGCCCACCAATATAGTGTTGAAAACATATACGGGGGAGCCTGTGGCCATAAAAGGTGTAATGGATGTGGAAGTGGAATTAAATGGTCAGTCAGCAACACTGCCGCTGTATGTGGTTAAAGAGGACTACCCAGCTTTACTTGGACGATAATGGCTGGAAACAATGAAACTAGACTGGCCGATGGTGCAGATGGTGTCAAAGGGAAACACTGAGCTCAGTGCTGTTCTGGAGAAACATTCTGATGTTTTCAAGGATAAACTCGGTACGATAAAAGACATTACGGCTAAACTCGACATCAAGCCTGATAGTAAGCCCAAGTGTTGCAAAGCCCGTTCTGTGCCATATGCTATCAGATCAAAAGTTGAGACAGCTCTGGAAGAGCTGGTAACCAGTGGAGTCATCGTACCAGTGAATAACAGTGAATGGGCTACGCCTATAGTACCTGTGCTAAAAAAAGATGGGTCTATTCGAATTTGCGGTGACTTTAAAGTGACAGTAAACCCTGTACTGTCTCCTGACCAGTATCCACTTACCCTCATTGATGATCTGTTTGCTGGTTTGGCAGGGGGAAAGTGGTTCAGCAAACTTTATTTGAGTCAAGCCTACTTACAAATGAAAGTCAATAAGAGCTCTAAAGAGTTACTGACAGTTGTCACACACAAGGGACTTTTCAGATACCAGCGTCTTCCTTTTGGCATCACCTCGGCCCCTTCGTTGTTCCAGAGAGCCATGGATCAGGTGTTAAGTGGCCTGTCGGGGGTGCAGTGCTACTTCGATGACATCTTAGTGACAGGAAAAACGGAAGCAGAACATCTGAGTAACCTGGATAGTACACTCCAGCGCCTAAAGGAATATGGTTTAAGAGTGAGAAAAGACAAATGTGAGTTTTTCAAGCAGTCTGTTGAATATCTTGGACATGTGATCGATGCTGATGGACTGCACAAGGCACCTTCAAAAGTAAGAGCTGTACTAGAGGCTCCAGCAGCACAGAACGTCAGCCAGCTTCGCTCATTCATAGGTCTTCTGAATTACAATGGTCGATTCATCAATGGCTTAGCCACACTGCTGAAACCTCTACACCAACTTCTGTGTAGTAACCAGACATGGGAATGGACACAGCAATGTGAGACTACCTTTCAAGAAGCCAAGAAAGCTCTGGTGAAGTCTGGTGTGCCAACCCATTTTAAAGGGGTCATATGATGCGATTTCGATTTTTCCTTTCTCTTTGGAGTGTTACAAGCTCTTGGTGCATAAAGAAGATCTGTAAAG